CTTTACATCCTTGTTTTGGAGTTCAGTGCTAATTTATCAGAGAGCCACCTCTCCAAAGCACAATGGGCTTGCAGGAGGAAAATGACCATCATTTTACTTTGTCTCCTCTTGACATGATAGTTTCTTACACCTTCCTTGTTTTCAGTGACCTTAATGGTTTTGAGTAGTTCTAGTCAGTTTATAGACTATCCCTCTATTGTGTTTGATATTTTTCTCCTGAGGAGATTGATGTTACAGGCTTTTGAAAGGACTACACAGATAAATTACTGTCCTTATCACATATCAAGGATACACACCAGCCACAGGATCACTGCAATATTGACTTGGAACCTTTAACTGCAGTCATGTGTCTCAGGTTCCACTGGACAGTTACTCTGGTCTTCTCTGCTTCCTTTCCATATTGGATTCCTTGGAAGGAAGCAACTATATAGCCTGCATTTAATGTCTGGGGTGTGACACTCCACTTCCCTCAGGGCAGATGATCTGCATAAAACATTTAGGATTCTTTTGCAAAAGAGATTTGGCTTCTCCAGCATTATTTGTTCAAATATTTATATCACTATGGACTGATAAGTATTTGTTCTATACTATGTGTTACAACACCATACAGTTGTATTGCTCAACTTGTTTCAACTTTGTTATTGGGAGCTCTTCTAGTGGGGTTCCTGTATCCCTGTAGCATTCTCTGCCAGGGTAGGTTCTTTGTTGTGGTTTGGTTGGTTGGAATTTTTGATACTTCCTTACTCTCTGGTTTTATGGGGAACTGTAGGCTCATCTTGTGTTATTCCTGGCTGGTGCAGCCCTAGAATCAGTCATTTTCCAGAGAATACTGCCTCCTTTTATTGGAGAATGTTATTAGAAACAGATTTGGATTCTAGATGTGTTGTATACATCCTTTTTTAGCCCTTTTAAGTATTCCTATGTAGACCCAATGACTTTATTTTTCATTTTTTAATAAGTTTCAAACTGGGTAAAGTATAGAGGTAAATGCAAGAGCCAAACTTCTCAGCTTCATCTTCTAGTTTCTGCAAGAATAGCTTGTGTGGACTTTGTCCCTCTCTGTCTCAGTTTCCCCATGCATATAACAGAACCTGGAAAGTATTTAATGATAGCTGAAACCTAATCCATATTAAAATGTGAAGGGGGTGTCAGTAATTATTTGAGGACAGAGAAATACTTTTTGTGTCTACCTGGTGTTGGTTCCATGACCACACAGGTAACAGAATTAATGGATGCTCAAGTCCCTTATATAAAGTAGCATAGTATTTTCCTATAATATGTGCATACTTGCATACTTTAACATGTTCACAATGGGCTGTAATTTATATGTATTGCTGCTGGGTGGCTTGAACCACAGGTGGAGCACATGTATGACTGCATGACTAGGTAGTTTTTTAAAATTAATTTTATAGTAAAAAGACTGATAAAAGTGAGTAGATGTTTGTACCACTGGTGGTTACATGTACCTAACAGTGGTTTAAACTGGTGGGAATATGTTAAATCATCTCTATATGACTTTATAATACATTACACAATGTAAGTTATTTATGCATAGTTAACTTCAATTTTTTAGGGAACAATGAAAAGAAAAATCTGTTCATGTTCAGTACAGATGCAGTTTCTCTCTCAAATATTTTCCATCCATGGTTCATTGAATCCCCAGATGCAGAACATGTGGTTACTGAGGACCAGATGTACTAGTTCTGTTGTTCAAGTCAAGTGATTTGCTTGAGATAGTCAAATGGGGGCTCTAGGTCCTTGTAATCCCTGCTACCTTTGAACTGTGAAGTTTTGTTTTAATGGATGAATCCACAGTGAGTATGCCAATGTGTCACTGTACTCCATGTGGAATATTAGTGCTAGTCGTGGAGTTGGGTGTTCAGTAATAGAAAAGGACAATGTTTTAAATTAATAGAGTTATTGCAGTATATACATTGAAGAGATTTATCAAATATTTTAAGAATGATGTGTTGTATGGGTTTTAGGTTCTTTTATGATAAAGCATGAAAAGCTATTCAATTATTAAATTAACATGAGTCTTTTATTAATTTTTTTTTCAGTGGACTTATTGGACGAAGCTGGGCTATGCTGTTTGCCAGTGGAGGCTTCGAGGTGAAACTGTATGATATTGAGCAACAGCAGATAACAAACGCCCTGGAAAACATCAAGTAGGTCAGCTGGCGCCATCCTGGAGGAATTCAGTGGCGCTGTTTCTCTTTTGGGCTCTTTTCTATGAGATCCTCAAGGCTATAAATATTTGTGATTACAAATTTCACTTAATTTGTCTTCCAGTGTCTAGGCTGGTAAAGGTTTTTATCATTTTTTAAAGTCCTTTCACTGCCAAAGAGTACATGAGAGGTTTCTATCTTTTTTTTGGGGGGTGCAGGAGTTGGTAGGTTTTGGGAATGGAACTGTGGACATAATAAGTAAATACTCTAGCACTGATCAACACCTCCAAATATATCTTTTTTTCTTTTTTCTATTGAGAAACAAATAGCAATGAGACAGTTTCAAAACTGATTAATTGGACAGTTTCAATAATTAATACATTGTACGTTGTTATCTTCTTATTGGTTATCCATAGTACAAGATGCAGACAGGATATCCTGTGCAAACGCTTTTAGTACAAATCTTTCTTCTTATAGAATTAAGTGAAAGTAGCTGTATATCTATCCTAACTATTCTGCATATACAGATACAAAAAGGTCCTTCCTTTGTATCCCCCTTTTTTTAAAATTTATTTTATTTTTTTCCATAATTTTATTGAGAAATAAATAGCAATAAGACAGTTTCAAATCGAATTGGTAGGACAATTCCAATAATTAACACATTGCATACTGCCTTCCTAGTGGTTATTTGTTGTGCAAGATGCAGACATGATATCCTATTTACAAACACCATTAGAACAAATCACTCTATTCCTTGAATTAAGAGAATGTAGCTATATATCTATCCTAACCATTTTGAATACACAGATACAAAATGGTCATTCATCTGTATCTCCTTTTTTTGTTTAGTTCCATCATTTAAATATTATAGGTGTGTGAACTCAGCAAAATATTCTAAAAGAGTCTAGTAGTCCATAATAGTATTGGGTCTTCCACTTGACTGGCA